AAAACTAACACACACACATTCAATATGGTAGTCTATTTCGAGGTGTTTAATGGAAACATCCACTCAGTCATGAGCAGCAGGAGTATCTGGCCACAATAGTGTTTACGCAGCTAAGGTCATATTCCACGTCCCAGCCTTTATATTTCCTGTGCGATTGAAATAATGAAAGGATTTATTTGTAACTCAAATGTTAGGGGGAAGTCGGGATTCGAGTATCAACTAGGAACAGACGGGCATCGTCAGTGGTGCGGCTGTTTTTCCTTTTTTCTCTTGTTTTCTTTTTCGAGATTGTATGGATTCAATTAGCCGTTTTGTTTGTTCTCATAAAGAGTAATTCGACTCAGGCAAGTAAAGAGGGTTTGAACACAAAGAAAAGAGCAGCATCTACAGAAACGTACCAACCCAGAGAAGTGCCACCGTGATGCAGTGGGCTGATGGGTAATGTGTTGAATGGAGGTGGTGCAGTCAGAAATCATGGCTGCTCCACTCTCCCATCACTGTTACTCTGACTAGAGAGTTACAGTACTCCTCTAACTACTCTGCTGAATCATAAAAGTTGCGTGTCCGTGCCAGATGCAGTTTAATGTGAACCAAATGAACAACAAGACTATCATGCAAAGTGAATTAAGAAGGAGGCAGCCATGGAGACCTAATCTGACCTATGATGTCATGTTGCACTCTCCCGTTCTCTCTGTCACACCCTTCTTTCTCTCCGGCAGCTTTTTTTTAATCTCTTCCCCTCTTTCTTTTTTTCTCTCATGTCCGTCTCAAGGACGAAGGGAGCTTCTCTGTTTGTGTTCTCGTGTGTTTCCTCTGGATGATCCAGTTTTCTCCCACCCTTAAGATTTACATGTCAGGAACACGCTGGCCATCACCCTTCACTCTAGAAACTGGCCTCAAACCTGCAGCTGGTCCTATATATTAAGGAGAGCTCACCTGCAGAGAACGTGTTTCCCCAAAGAGATTAAGTTTGTATGATTAAACTTTAAGTAACTTGAACCTGAAAGGTCTCTGTAACTAATCCAAGAGGCCAGTCTGCAGTTTGTTTGTCACATTTAGTGTGTAAATAGGCCTCAGGCAGCATTAGTCATGTGATTTAAAATGTGACAAGAGGCGAGTCAGCGAGTTCTTTTGAACCGGTACAGCAGTGTTTCCTTGCCTCAAATGAAGTTTCTTATTTATTAACCTACTTCCTGTGGCTGAACAGCAGCGTGTGCTGTAATCAGTTTGTGTGATTTAGGCCTGACACATCTGTAGCAGACAGAAACCGGCCACTTTTGGAAACTTATAGCCTAATTTTTTATCGATATTCAGCAGCTTAACATTTAGTCTTCATACTGCTCCCTTTTCCAATCCTCTTGACGCTTTCTGATATGAACGACTTAGTCTAAAGATAGAAATGTCCTCCTCCTCCTCCTCCACCACCTCTTCATCTTCATCCTCCTCAGCACCGGATGCTTGCTGTGCTTGCTCTAAGATTTAGAGAGATTCGTTTTCCCTGAACACACTCCTCATCTTCCCTTCGCCAGCACTGCAGCATCAGCGGGATCTGCGAGTGTTTACATGGTACCAACAGAAAAAAAAAAGTCTGCAGAAGGGAGACTCCACTGGGAAGACCTTTGACCTCTAACCTTTCACCCAGTAGACCGCTGAGCCACCCAGCAGCCACAGGAGACAGATGAGTGCTGGTCATGCTCAAACAAGAGAGAGGGACCGTGCAGGAGGGGGAGAAGGCCAAAGCTACACACACACACACACACACACAAACACACACATATGCGTGCAGAAAGCTGCCTCCCATCCCTGTGTCTTTCTCAGGTCATGCTCCATAAGCTTAAAAGCAGGGCCTCAGGTGGTAATTCACTTAAACCTGCAGCATCTGCCACTCAGGCTGCGATTCCATTAAAATGACAGCAGCAGAGCTATTTTCAAAGCGCTGTTTGTTTTTGTGCACGCATCATTCTTTTTCTGTCTCTGTTTTTATTCTCTTTGGATTTTTATTCCTCTGGCTGTTTAAAATTGAATATGCACCTACAGCAGATGTATACACACATGTGGGTGCACCTACCTGCAGATGTGTGTGTGTGTGTGTGTGTGTGTGCGTGTGTAACTACTGTGAAGCACCGCAGGCTGGTTGCTGTTTAAACACAGCTGTTTAAAGGTCTCCTGCAGTGCCGCTCATTTCTTGCTTGTGTATTTACAGATGGGACCACGTCAAGAGTATTGGCAAACACAATGCAAGTTCATCTGATTTTGGCCATTTCCTCTTCCCGTCTGCCTCCATCCAGGCATGATGTCATGCCTTACAGCAAGGATACACAGCCCTTTTCATACTGGGAAACCCCCAAATAGATACAGACCAAAGGGCCCCATGTGGAGCCACAGTTGAAGGCAGCTGAGTAGACAAATGGATGTTTTAAGTTCTTTCGCGGTTGTATGGAACTGTGTAATTTCAATGAGGGCAAACTGGTGTATGCGTTTTGTCATTTTTATGGTAAACCACTGGGCCATCCTCAGGGATGCAGCGGGTGGGTGTACGGGTGGGAGGGGTCCCGGATCCCGCTCACAGCGCCCTGAACTCCTCCCACCCACCCACACGTCCCTCCCGTCCCCAATAAGTGGCACGGACAAACCGAAGGACAGCTGGTGTTTCCTGCCAAGAACCAGGCCATTAGGGAAATCAGGAATTCTGCACATCCTGGTCATTTCCTGTTCCGACTCCCACACGCGTTCACGAGCACGATAGAATTTCACACACACACACACACACTTGGTTAAATAGTTTTTGTTTACATACTTGGACTCTATCTTTCTCGACAAGATGACAAGTCCTCATTTGTTTCATATGTGTGCCAAAGCAGGAAGGCATCTATCATCAACACTGTAATGCATGCACACACACACACACGCACGCACACACACAGTAGTGGCAGCTTTGGCTTGTAATATCATCTGTAGAGACACAAAGGCTGGGATAGGAGGCTGAGGGAGTATATTTGCACATGCAGCACATACAGTGACTTTAAGGAGCACGTGTGCTGTCTGGAATGTGACCGCCTCTGATCTGTAACAAGCGCCCCTCAACTGCCCTGTGTGTATGTGTGTATGTGTGTTTTCAGCTGACCGATTATTGGCGGTGTCGCTATCATATTCCTGTTTGCTTTGCTGAACACCTGCCCTGTTTTATTGCCTTCTACCTACTGCCTGTTTTATTACCCGCTTTTATCACCCTTTAACAACAAAGCATGACTTTCAGATTGCTTCTCAAGTATTCAGTATATCCATAAAGGCTTAGACGCAGAAAAACACACACACACACACACACACACACACACACACACACACACACACACACACACACACACACACACATACACATTGAGCCACATGGGCACATTTTGCTAGATCAAACGAACAGGGGTCATCAGAGGGGTTAATCCTGGTTTGGTACAGTCCCCGGTAGTGACTGACACCACACAGTGTGAATAACAGGAGGGAATGACACCCCCTGTAAACATCAGTGGGATTACCCGAGAATATTCCATCTGACTGGAGTGTATTGGGAGGCTCTGGACTGTACCAAGAGAGGGGCTCTCTTAAATTGTCAAATTGGACTGTCTCATTTATTTATTGTTAAACTGTAATGGTTTTTTTTTGCTCAATGCGTGTTCAGCTGGAAGCTGTGCCACAAGGAAGTGTGTGCACTCTGCGCCTGCACTATAGGTGTGACTCCTCCTTGTGCTTAACCAACACTCTCCTTCTGTTTGACGCACACAGCTCCAGATTAGACGGCATTCTTCCTCCGAGCACACTGGCATGCGTGGGTGTTTATTCATCCTCCCAGGTTGGGCAATATCAGATTGTCTAAACAGTGTGACTGCCCAGCTGACCTAGAAATGATATGAAGGAAACGGGGGAGAGAAGGACGTCGTCACATGCTGTTACATTTTCATTTTCGCTCTGTGAGGGTTATCCTTGAGTTTCATGTTTTTCATTCAATGTTTTGTCTCATGTGAAGTGTCCTTGTTGATGTGTTCAAGCCACTTCATTTTGACTGAGTACTGGAAGGCTAACCACAGAATCTGCAGTATGTGAGTGTGTTACAGGTTAGTTATAAGGTGAGGTTTTTTAAAAATGAAAGCGAGCAAATGTCCAATATTTAGCAATTTCTAATAAATATGAAATATATCCACAAGGATGAAATACGTCTACCTGTGTAACATGTCAACAATAAGAAGCTTTTTCGGAGCCTGTCACCTCTTCTGTTGCATTACGAGATATGAGCTGCTGGAACTGAGACAACCAGGCCACACTGCTGCATGTTGCAGTCACACCACTTTCCTTTTTAAGTCCAGCAGAGGGAGCTCCGCATTCACCTTTGACTGCACAGCTGAGCTCCCAACAACCAGCTTGCTATGCCCTCCTTCCCCATCACACTGGCTCATATTAGCCAACTAATACAACCTGCTAGTGTTGTTCAGAGCGGGCGGATTGATGTGACCTCCATGCTGCAGTGATTCACTGCACTCACCACATCAATTTAGGTGGTAGTGGTTGGTTTTTCGGCGCCGTCCTCCATCCTCCCTTTTTCTTTTGGATCGTTAGCTGGAGGCAGAGATGTTGGGTGTGTCAGCGGTGAACAGCACACTACACACTACAGGGCATTCCACCGATCAGACTGCACAGGGTGCCCGCTAGGGGTCCATGAGCGGTTGTCATGGTAACAGGCAGTGAGGTTGGCATGAGCTGAGGGTTTTTTTTTTTTTTTTTTTTCTCCGTTAGATCACTCCTGCTGTGTGGGTGTGATCTGATAGTGTGTGAATTTATGTACATGTGTGGAATCATCTGACAATGTCTCATTTGCTTTCCTCTGTTTCTCTGCGTCTGCATTTGTGTGTGTGTGTGTGTGTGTGTGTGTGTGTGTGTGTGTGTGTGTGTGTGTGTGTATATGTGTGTATATGTGTGTATATGTGTGTATATGTGTGTATATGTGTGTATAGATGGAGCAGGTGTCAGATGATGAGTTGGACCATGGAGCAGAGGAGGACAGCGATAAGGAGGACCAGGACCTGGACAAGATGTTTGGAGCCTGGCTGGGAGAGCTGGACAAACTCACACAGGTTAACATACATATACACAATATACTTTACACATACACACACAGACACACAACACACACACACACATATATTATAGTATATATTATATTATATATATATATACAAGTAATGGAGGTTGGTTTCACAGATACAGACTCACACAGGTAGAAAAGCACAGAGAAAGGAAGAGGCTGTATCCATAGCAACCTTAACACTGCTAATCCTGTCTCCCTATACTGTATCCTAGCAACTCCCCTCCCACCACCACTTTGTACTGTGTATTTGTGCAGGTCTGTGTGTGTGTGTGTATGTGTGTGTGTGTGTGTGTGTGTGTGGGGGTATGTGACTAAGGAGTCTAGCAGGCAGACATGGTTGCTTAGATCCTGTGGTTTGACTGTAATGTCATGTGTGTAGTTTTTTGCATATCTGCAACTCAAGTATTTCTTCTCTGTGTGTGTGTGTGTGTGTGTGTATGTGTGTGTGTGTGTGTGTGTGTGTGTGTGTGTGTGTGTGTGTGCTCTGCAGAGTCTGGATGATGGCAGGCCACAGAAAGCACTGCAGAAGCCTCCTCTCAGACAGGAGACAAACATGGCCAACTTCTCCTACCGCTTCTCAATGTACAACATAAACGGTGAGACCTCATTCACAGTATGAATCTAATGGCACCGATCAGAAAAAGGTCAGAAGAATGGATTAATCACACCCCTCCCCCCTCTACCCTACTCTGCTCTTTGATCCCTCTGTATCCTTTATCTTTGCTCACTGCAGAGGCGCTGAACCAGGGCGACACAGTGGACCTGGACGCCCTGATGGCCGACCTGTGTTCAATCGAACAGGAGCTCAATACCATTTCCAGACCTAACTCCACGGCTCGTGGCCAGAGCAAAGGCCAGCAGAGGGCCCCTGGAGGGCGTAGTGCCAGTACCAAGCACACAGGCACCAGTGGGGGGGGGAGCAGTGGAGGTAGTCTCACTGAATAATGTGTATTTACAATGGTGCTTCATGGAGTCAACAATCCCTAAACAAAAATATATAATCATTGTCTATAAGGCTGTCAGCCATACTTTGCTTTAATTTTACGTAGAATCCCACATTGTTGGGCTTTGACTTGCCGTGTCACACAAAGGAGGAATGCTTTATTTCCTAATAACCTCACCTCATTAATGGAACGATCTCCTTATGAAAAAGCATTATATATGGATTATATATTATTTAAACTGGAGTCAGTGCATGCAGAGATGATTTCCTCCTCCATCTGAGCTGTGTTGAAACTTTGAACTCTCCAACAGGAAGCACCAGTAGCAGTACCCGGGCGTCGCCGGCCAACACGGTACGAGGCGGCAGCGTCAACGCCCGCCCCACTGCCTCCAACATCTCCCTGGATGACATCACCTCTCAGCTGGAGAAGGCCTCCCTCAGCATGGACGAAGCGGCTCGTCAGACGTCCTCCTCTTCCTCCTCATCCTCCTCCTCCTTCTCCTCCACCACGCTCCGGCGGCCCTCGTCGGGGTCGTCCGGCGGCGGGCTGCACCGCAGGACGGGCTCAGTGGGCACGGTCAGCGAGCAGGAAGCTCCGTCCCAGCGGTCCAGTGTAAACTCAGCATGTGCCTCAGCGTCCAGCATGGACTCCCTGGACATTGATAAAGTGATGACGGGAGGAGAGGGGGAGGGCCGGAGCAGCCCGAGCACACAAGGACAAAACCAGACCAGCACTGAGGTATGACCTACGCTGAAGCACACAAACACTGAAAAACACACACCAATAGTGATTCAGCTAATGAGAAAGTGTGTGTGTGTGGGCGCGCCACAGTGTGGAAGACGTGTATGTTTCCATGTGTACTGGTAAGTGAAATCTGTGTTAATAAGATTTGGGGTCAGTTCAGTTTTCCGTTCAGTCTCTGAAGACACAAAGGAAATACACTCTTGTTATCGTACAACTGATTAATAGCAAAGCAGTCATTCGGATTTCTAAGAAAATCCAAATCCTGAATTTGCTGAATTGACCTCAATCCAGCTCTGATCCTGCATGTTTAACCACGCAGCATGACGTTTGGAAGAAACTGCATGCCTGAAGCGTAGTGAGAGTCAATCCACAATACGGGCCCGTGTATTGTGCATTGGATGGGTGTTTTAATGAATGCATTGTAATCGCCTATTAGTCTCCTAAGTGTGACTTGGATTACAATGTTAACATCTACCATTTCTGAATTTCTTTGTTCCCTCACCAAGCGCCTCGGCTCTCTAACAAAAAGCAAAAATATCTCCTAAAGTACGTTTGTTGAACTTGTTTCACTTGAGCATATATACACATAAACAGATCTGTATGTTTATGTGACTTTATGGAGAGGACTGTATTACATGTTAACACAATATCTACAGCATGTCCCCTGTCCCCTCTGCATGTGTTTTATATTATCTGTGTTTGCATCCTTTCCTATATCTGTGCTTTTTTTACCCACACACACCTCGCCTGCACCTCCTGATTTTCCCAGCATGTCACGCTGCGACGGGCCAACGGTAAGCCGGCCAGGCGGCAGCTTGACTTCACCGCACACGTGGGTGAAGTGGATCGGGCCACTGTAAGTGCATGTGTGCGAAGCTTGCATGTGTGCATAGGCGTATTCCCCGTTTAAGGCTGCACAGTTGATCATTTAGAGTGCGATCATATGTTGAAATTTATATTAATGATGATGCAAGAGACCGATAATAATTGCAACAGAATTGGTTGGCTAGTGTGCAGCCTTTGGTTTATGTGTTATGCATGCACATGTAACTGTAAGCATAAAAGTGTGTATGGATTGTGTGTATGTGTGTGTGTGTGTGTGAAAGTAGTTGTAGACCTTAGGTTTTTTGCAGTATACAGAGTGCACTATGTATCACACACTCCAGTCTGATGCAGCCATGTGCATATCTGCAGTACTTGTCACAATCATTGCTTCTTTACCCACAGCTGCAGCTAATGACAACCACAGCTGCTGAGCGCTCCATGTATGGAGCCTTCTCTCGCTTCCACGCTTCTTTATACCAAAAAAAAAAAGATCAAAACACCTGCGATTAATAAGCCTCCAAGAATCATCTGGCACTGACTTCTCTATATTTTGTCTGTTCCTCTGCTCTCTCTCTCTCTCTCTCTTTTTTTTTTTTTTTATCTCCCCTCCTCTCTTCACCCAAGCACTCCTATCTGGACCGAGAAACCTCACTCATTCTGAAAAGCATAGCTGGAAAGCCTTCTCACCTCCTGACCAAGGTGACCTCCTCATACACTCGCTTCTTTTTTTTTTTTTTTTTGCCCGTGTGTGTGTTCACTGCTCCTCTCTTCTGCTTTGCATGTCTCTCGGTGGAAAAATCCATCTCCATGACAATTGCTGAAAAAACAGCTGCTTGATATCGGACTCGTTTATTTATCCATTTATTTGTTTAAAGAAGAAGGGGATGTCAGCTGTCTCCAACAGGATCAGGCCTTTTGTCAGAGGCCTTTAAACAGTATTCTTTGGATTTAATTTGGGAACACGTAAAACAAGTTAATGAAAATTCATATATGTAACAGCGTTAGAGTATCAGAATGGATTTTTCCTCCTCATCATTTACCATGCTTATAGACTGAATACACTTGATTGTTTCTTCCTACATGCTTCCACATTTATTTTCACTGGCATGAGGCCTTCTGACCATTGGTCCCTATATTCTTTCATTTTTCCGTCTCTTTCTCTGTGAAGCTTTTGAGTTGCACTCCGTCTTCATTAAGAAAGGGAATGTGACTTAATGTCATTAGAGCTGCAATGATGAGTCAATTAATCGATGAGTCGTTTGCTAATAAATTAATTGGCAGCACAATTTTGATAATAAATGAATCATTTAAAGCACCCCAGCTTCCTCCACTATGAGGATTTGCTGCCTTTGTCTGTTTAATGTCAGAAATGAAATGTCTTTAATATCTGTCTTCAATATGAGCAGGAAAGCTCTTTTACTTTACAACAGTTTCAAACAGTAGTAGTTTTCCTCCACCCTTTTCTGACATTATATAGACTAAATGATTAATCAATTAATTGATCATTAAATAATAGTCAGTTGCAGCCCTGTGTGTTTTCTGGAAGTTGTGTGTTTATGTGTGACATGCTTGAATTTGTATTGAATTGGGAAATGGTTCTGCAGGTTCTTGCTGTTCCATACGTTGAAACTATACGCGTTAACTTAACAATGCTCATACAAACACAAGACAATGAACTGCACGAAGATCTTAGTGGTGTACACACACTATTTTACTATAAACCTCTTGGCAGCTGTCAGGTTTCCCAGCAAGTGTATTAGTTGCAGCCTTTGGCTCCGATGCAAAGCTTATGCCGATCAGATGTGTGCAGATTTGTGGTTCAAAGTTGGCCGCTGCTGATTGTGATTTATCCCACCGCTGCCAGACGACACGTAGCCAAGCGCACGGCGAGGGATTCCGAGAGAGGCAGGCGCCGAAGTCCAGAGCTCCCTGAATCCTACAGAGATTTAATAATCCAAGGGATTTTTGCAAGAGTACGACACAAACTACGAATTATTCTAATCCTAGATAGTCTCAGGGTCGGGAAAACTCTAGGGAAAGACTTCACAACAAAAGCCTTCATGTAGGAGAAGACTGAAAGATCTCCATTAGTACTCATTAGCCTTGAATTCAGATTTCTTTCTAAAACACTTTCAGTTATTTGAATATATAATAGATGTGAAGCTGACTCTTGCAGCAATATCCAAACAATTCATCTGCTCCCAAAATCTTCAGCCAGAATCTTGCCGTGGCAGTTTCTCTTTGTATTACAAAACAATGGAATTAATTCAATGTTTCAAGGCTATTGGTTTCTGGCATCCAAGCTCTCAGGCTGACCGTGTATGGAGAAAGCATTTGAGTGGTTTTAAAGGGGGGGGGTAGAGGATGGACGGCCTGCGGCGTACAGGCTGTGCGGGAGTTTATGTGTTAGTGTTACACTTCTTCATCAGAGAATGGGAGAGGGGCGAGCCGCGATCGCCTCCACTCACAAAATCTCTCTCTCTCTCCTCGCTTGCAAATCAGAATACTGAATGAGCGCGGGATGTTTGGGAACAAGCGAGGAGAGAGAGAGTGGGAAGACATCAAAGGGAGACGGAGCCAAGATTTTTTTTTTTTTCCGGGCTAGGCAGAAAAGCCTTTTTTAAAACTGGCTCTGGTGTGGCTGAGTGTGAAAGTGGAAGGGAAAACGGCTGTGGAATGGGAATCAGACTAATGTCTAATAGAAAAATAGGGTGTAGGTGTCGTGTGGAGAAGGAATAATGGAGGGGAGAGGGAGGTGTGGAGGGGCTGCGCTGACATTTCTGGGCCTAATCCTACAGTGTGACTCAGATTGACTCTGGACTGTAATCTGCACGACCCCCATGACCTCTGCTCCTCACACACACAGCTTCGCACTTGGCTGGCTAAAAGCCCATCACTGTGTGTTGGCCAAACACAGTGTTGGCTTTTTATTACATTAATGTGTTTGTGCTCTGGAGCCGGTCATGTGGAAAAGGTAGTCTGGGTCAAGGAGGAGGGGTGGGGTGGGGGGTTGGGGGTGTGGGTGTGGGGGGGTTCTTGAGATAAGAGGCTTGGGGGAACGGTTGTTAGCCCCCCCTCCTCACTTGCTCTCTTTTAACACACATGCCTCTGTATACACACACACACACAACTTCAAATATTCAGCATCTCAGCTTCTCATTCACACAAAATCCACTCTCTGTCCTTGTCGCTGTAGTTTAGCTCCGGGCCCGGTGTCAGTTACGGTCGTCATTGCCCCCCCCCCCTGCTCCCGCCCTTGTCCTGACTGGCTAAAGGGTAGAGGGTCTTGCAAATGGGGCTCACTGATTGGCTGACCCCGTCATTCTACTATTTTCGTGGGGATTATGCTCTATCGATTGGGCACGCTCCCAAACCTCGGCATCTGTTTGAGAGAGAAGGAAGAGAATGATGGAGAAGGGGGGGGGGGGGGGGGGGAGAGAGAGAGAGGAGGAAGCAGGAAGCAAGGGTGGGAGAATAGAAGGGGGAGGGGCATCGTCCTCCCTACTGTCTCACTTTGGGCTTTAGTCAAGTTGTGCTCCTCTCATGTGCACATGTCTGTGAGCGTCAGTGAACCTGCGCTGTCACAGAGCCTCTGCTCGGCACAGCCTCGGCTAGCTTGACCACTGTCGCCTCTGAGTGATGGGAGATGCGGATGCGACGCTGAATTTCTTCTTCCTCTGAGGATCACGTTGGAATAACTTTTCATACAGCAGTAGCTTTAGGTGGCGAATGGGAGGGGGGGTAAAAAAATGGAATTTCTTTTTCTGTTTTTCGCTTCAGTCTTGCAATGTAAAAACAGCTGAGAACCTGTTTTCGTCCTCCTGCATCAATCATGGACGCGTTTGGATATTTTCTGAATATTTTCCCCCCTTTTTAAAATGATCTTTGTAGGATATCGTGGTATCTATGAGTGGACGGCATAGACTCTTTCTGAACTGATCTTATACTCGTTCGCAGCCTCTCGCCCTTCGGGGATCTCCTACTATTGTTTCCCTCTCTGCTGTACAGCGAGATCAAAGGAAAACTGCTGCAGCTCCATATGAATCCAATATGGAACCATAGGCAGCAAATGGAACGCCATATTTGAGGGGGGACACCGGACCAATGTCACAATAGCAGTGCTTTACCATCACGTTGAACATTTGTGCTCGATCATATATTCACACATAAGTGATTAAAAAAAAAAAATACACACACGTGGAAGCAAACGCAACCTGCAGAATGGAGGTGATGGCATCGTGTTGGAGAGGGCAGGTAAGCAACCCGAAGGAAAATGAGCTTTGCACAAGACACCATGTTCCACCGTGCCCGAAGCTTGTGCATTTAAACGGAAACGGTTGAGAAGGCTGCTTACTATTTAATGAAGTTGTGTGTGTGTGTATGTGTGTGTGTGTGTGTGTGTGTGTGTGTGTGTGTGTGTGTAGGATGTTTTATTCCTGCCAGAGGAATGATGAAAGACATGGGTGAAGAGGGTGAGGCAAGGCTATGAAATCAAACCGTTTTTTTTGGGGGGGTTTTTTGGTTGTTTTTGGTTGTGTGTGTGTGAATGACAGCTGTCTCAACTGTGTTCCTGTGTGTTCATCTAGGAGGAGCAAGCTGCCAAACTGAAGGCAGAGAAGATCCGAGTCGCCCTGGAGAAAATCAAGGAGGCGCAGGTCAAAAAGGTAGGACCACCTCCTCTTTCCTTTGTGCACACACGCTCTCCCTCACCGACTCGGATTTCTCTTTTTAAAAAGCCTTTTTCGGGCTCATACAGTAATTGCTGTCTCGTCATATTCACTGCACGCTGCATTTCTTTGTGAACTTCATTCACAGCGAGGCGATGAAGCGCAGAGAAAATAGGTCATTGCAGTGTTTGATTATATATGTGTGTGTGTGTTGTGTGATGGGGAGGGAGCAAGATATCAGACAGAGGCTTCAGAAAAAGATGCAGTGTGTGTGTGTGTGTGTGTGTGTGTGTGTGTGTGTGTGTGTGTGTTGCAAGACAATGCAGACACATTTTGCATAAGACATCTTATTTAACTGCATCCAACCAAACAAGTGCTGCTTTTCGGTGAACAACTGGGGCGCCTGGCTCCATTGAAAGCCCATGTCTCCACTGGGAAGTCAGCATGGGACTCCACAGGCAGGCCATTTTTACCAGTGTTTCCGCCCAGTGAATGAACTGTCTCTGTGAATGAGAGCGATGTCATTTAGCAGAATGGTTTCCCCTTTTTTTTTTTTTTTTTTTGTTAACATGCAATGAATAGCTGAGGCAGAATAGTGTTTCACCAAACAGGGCTAGACTTCACTCTGCCAAGTGAATAGTTATATGACGAGATAAAGAGCGCTGGTACAGCCGGGATGTGGGAAAAAAAAACCCTCAGCTCTGGAGAATTCTATCATGTGCTAAATTATTAGTGATGTGGTTGTCAGCATTTTATGTAACTAGCTAGGCCTCACCATTTACTATATTTTGGATTCATGACATTGAAGCAGTTTTAGAGGATTCAGAACTTTTCTCTTGTGGGTTTTTCTGGTTCACTTTTACTCTTCTGTGTTGTTTATTTCTGATTTTTTCGGCCAGACTGGGGGGGGGGAGTTTAGGGGGTTCTCCTGTGAGAAATGTAGGTCAGACTCCCCCATGTCTGAGTCTCACAGCTCCCCCGTTATTCTTATTTGTCAGTGTCTCTATTCAATCAGCTGCACCCACGTACTGATTGGATATCTGGGTCCTGATGGGCGGGGACAAACATGAGGTCAAGGAATATAGGGCTTTATTTGATTTCACACCAGGATATGTCTTATATAGGCTGTGATTGTGTGAGGCTGGATTTGGCACGTGTGTGTGTGTGTCACGTTCAGCTTAGTTTAAGCTTACTTGTTATGGAGGACTTTACTTTGCCTGTGGATACGAAGCCTTGGCTAGATTATTGGATTTTAGTAGCTGTATATGCAACATTGTGACTCTTGTGACTCATAAATAGTTAGAAGCATTTGAAACAAGCCTTACAAGCACATGATCAGATTTCCTCCCTCCGGTTCATTAAAGCCGCCTGTTCCCAACCAGGTTGTGCAGCTTTAATTGAGGTGCACTTTTACTGCAAAAACTGTTATGGCATTAAATTATATTCACATAAAATTATTGCAAATTATTCCCCAGAGGCTTTTAAAGAATTGTCCAGAGAAAATTGTGATGCTACAGTTTGCTAAGTGGGTGGAGACACTGTTTATGCTCAATCAAAGGAAGTGCATGATCCACTGCATAAATTGTAATTATTATAGCTATAATAATCTCTTTTCTCCTTCCTCCCATCATTCTCCTGTCTTCTCTTCCTCAGCTGGTGATCAGGGTCCACATGTCAGATGAGAGCTCCAAGACCATGATGGTGGATGAGCGGCAGACAGTCAGGCAGGTGCTGGACAGCCTGCTGGATAAGTCTCACTGTGGCTACAGCCCCGACTGGTCGCTTGTGGAAACCATCACCGAGCTACAGATGGGTAAGGGAGGAGCGGCAGATAGTTTCCGCCACACCTGAGTCAACGAAACATTGTTTATGGTTCGCTCTAGTCGCACAGTACGGCATACAGACAGGTTTTTATGTGTGGTCTAAGAATAGTCACTGTTTGTGGCTTCAAGCTAATTGCGAGGCTTACAGTTAACGGTTCTGCCCCACCCAAAAAAAAACAGAAATCCCCGGCGGGAGGAAATGAAGTGCACATTTGCAGGTCAGCAAGAAAACTGCATGTCTTGCATCTTATCTTCACTGTACTCCTCCTCTCTCCTCCCTCACTGTCGTTTTCTTAGAGCGTATTTTTGAGGATCATGAGAACTTGGTGGAGAATCTGTTGAACTGGACCCGGGACAGCCACAACAAACTTATGTTCATTGAACGCATCGAGAAATACGCTCTTTTCAAGAACCCTCAGGTGACCGTCCGTTACACTTCAACCCGCACACACATACACATACATACAGCAGAGTGAGGACGGATCATCCTCTCAATACCCTACGTAGCAGCCTCTGCATTCAGCGTGTAAATGCCCAAAGCATATGCAATACACACAAACACATTGTTTATGCATGCTCAGTGACTGCACAGCGAGAGAGCCGGGGAGTGAACAAGGGAGTGTGTTTGTGTAGGAGAGTTGGAAGTAGGTCAAAGCTTCTAAAGCGAGTAAAGGTGAATAATTTATTTAACATAAGAGGAGGTGAGCCTCCAACTCCACACACACACACACACACACACACACACACACACACACCCTCCTCTCCCCTCCCTGTCCTCTATTCACTTCACTGTTCTTCTCAATCATTTCCAGAACTACTTATTGGGGCGGAAGGAGACATCAGAAATGGCTGACAGGAATAAAGAGGCTCTATTAGAGGTGAGTTTCCTATCAATTGAACAAGAGGATTACTTACAAGCTAAACTTTAACATTAATTTTGTGCCCGTGTGTGTGTTTGTGTTTGTGTGTGTGTTCCTCAGGAGTGTTTCTGTGGCGGCTCAGTGTCTGTGCCAGAGATCGAGGGGATCCTGTGGCTGAAGGAGGACGGGAAGAAGTCGTGGAAGAAGCGTTACTTCCTCCTCAGGGCTTCAGGGATCTACTACGTCCCAAAGGGCAAAGCCAAGGTCAGTGAGACCCAAGGTGGTACAGTGTAGGCAACACAGTTGAAAATGGATGATGGGGAAACAGAAATGTGAAGTTTAGGTTATGAGAACCAAAACTAGATTAGAAATTCACACTGATTCTGGAAACCTGTGACACTTCCTCGGGTATGAGTGATTCTCGCTTCACGGACTGCGTCGTGACTTCTCCGGCTTCAGTCGATGTTGGTCCTTTTGCAATCAGCCGTGTGATCAACACGTCCTCTTGCCTCCTGTCTCTCCCTCCCTGCAGGCGTCCAGAGATCTCGTGTGCTTCCTGCAGCTGGACCATGTCAACGTGTATTACGGGCAGGACTACCGCAGCAAATACAAGGCTCCTACTGACTACTGCCTGGCCCTGAAGGTAATTACATATCACATGCAATCTTTTCATTAAGAGAAAGATGTTGTTATTTGCCACTGGACATTGGAGGCATCTATGGAGATTAAAATACATGCATATTTATTTCTTTTTGCAGCATCCACAAATCCAGAAGAAGTCACAGTACATCAAGTATCTGTGCTGTGATGATGTCAGGACCCTGCACCAATGGGTGAATGGGATTCGAATCGCCAAGGTACATCTAAACCTGAGTTCCTGAACTTTTATTGGGGGTTTTGATTTTTGATTTTATGTCATTGACTTCTTTCCCGTTGTGCATGTGTGTGTGTTTGCGTGTAGTATGGAAAGCAGCTATACGTGAACTACCAGGAAGCAATGAAGAGGACAGAGGCCGCCTACGATTGGTCGTCTCTCTCTACCGCCAGCATCCGATCCGGCTCCAGCTCTGCCAGCATACCGGGTTAGCTTGTTGTTTAATCACCCACACAAAAGACACATAACTCATTGTCTTTTCCATACTTTTCATGCATCATACTGCAAAATATAGAAGTTTCTAAAGGCTTACTGTCGTGTGTGTGTGTGTGTGTGTGTGTGTGTGTGTGTGTGTGTGTGTGTGTGTGTGTGTGTGTGTGTGTGTGTGTGTGTGCGTGCTTCCAGAGTCCCAGTCTAATCATTCAGGCCACTCAGACAGTGGTGTGGACACAGGCTCCTCTCATGGCCGGTCCCAGAGTGTGGTGAGCTCCATTTTCTCTGAGGCCTGGAAGAGAGGCACCCAGATCGAGGAAAACTCCAAGGTACGTCTTCCTGTTAAAGACTCTCAAAGACATGGATTCAGGAAAATATGTCACTTTACTGAGCTAACAGACAATCTCTCCTGGCAGATGAGGATGGAGGCATCCAGAGGGGCCACCCTGCCGCATGCTTCCCACAGTCACCGCCATCACAGCCAGCATTCAGTCGACCACCCAGCCCTGACGCCCCCTCCCCAGCCCCAGCCCCAGCCCCAGCCCCAGCCTCCGCCTCAGCCTCAGCCTCCACCACAGCCCCAGCAGCAGCACCCACCACAGCCCCAGCACCCATCAGCGCACCCCCAGACACCGACCCAGCCACTGCACCAGCACCTGCCTCCCCAGCCTCAGTCTCCTCAACAGGCCCTCCAGCCACCGACCCAGTCGCCTCAGCGCCCTCAGCAGCCGCCACAGTCTCCACAGCAACAGCGGCAGCAGCGGCAGCAGCAGCAACAGCAGCAGCAGCAGCAGCAGCAGCAGCAGCAGCCGCCGCCGCCGCCACAGACCATCAGCAGCTACAACCACATGCCCCCACAGCAGCAGCAGCAGCAGCAGCAGCAGCAGCCTGCTCCCCAACCCCCACCTCCTCCGCCGCCGCCGCCTCCCCCTCCTCCACCGCCGGTTCAGATGGTGTCACACCACTCGCCGGCCCCCACCATGTACAAGTACAGCACCATCACCAGGCTGCAGAACCAGAAGGCCTCCCAGGACGCCAACCACCACAAGCTGCCCCGTCACCTCCACGCCACAGCTCAGCAAGTTCTACCCCCGGCCCCGACACCGCCCACAGCTTTGGTGTCCATCAAACCCAATGTCAATCACATTGCGGCAAGGACTAATGTCCCACCTCCCCCTCCGCCTCCTCCTCCCCCTCCACCATCCATGCCAACCCCTGGGTCAGCCATGGCTGTGTTGAAGCTGGGCCCTCCCAGCCCGGCTGCCCCGCCTGCCTTCATTCCTCCACCCCCAGCACCTCTGTTTGCACCACAGACCAACGGAGTAGCATTCCCTCCTCCTCCTCCTCCCCCTCCACCCCCACCTGCACCAGCTCCCATGAGCCAGCCTGTTTACCCCAGCGGGCTGAAGCAGGTGCTGAAGGAAAGGTTTCCCAGCCCGCCGCGGGACCTCCTGACTCCCAATGGAGACCTTGAGGAGTCCCCACCGCCGGCTCCTGCTCCACCACCTCCACCTCCTCCACCTCCACCCCCGCCACCACCTCCTCCTCCTCCCCAGCAGTTCCCAGTGCCAGCCCAGTTTCCACCCCCGCCTGCGCCACCACCAGCGCCACCCAAAACCTTCACCCCAGGCTTTGTCCCTCATACTGCCCCCAAGCCCGTGTCACCTGTCGCACCGTTCCCTCCTGCCCCACCTCCCGCTGCCTTAGGGGGCCCAACGCCACCACCACCACCCCCGCCTCCACCTGCACCCTTCAAGAAGCAGTTCAGCCTCCAGGCGGGCCACACCCCCAGCCACCCCCCTCCGACTTTGCCCAAGCAACACAGCCTGTCTAAACCACCGCCCATTTCCACGGGAGCCCCTCCCACCATGTCTTTGGTGAAACAACTGGCAAGTCAGTTTCCAGGAGCTTCATCCCAGGTCGCCAATCACACAGAGAGCCCCAAAGCCCCCCTCTCCCCACCTGCAGTCAAGACCAAACCAAAATGGCAGCCAGGGGGGGGCCAGCAGCCGCAGTCTCCGGAGTTCCCTCCTCCTCCTCCAGACAGCAACGCTGGCTTCCCCGCTCCACCCCCTCCTCCGCCGCCTCCTCCAGCACCTGTTACAGGCCCGACTCCACCCCCTCCTCCCCTCCCTCCTGGAAACCTGGGCTCCCCCATGAGGAGGTCGCCCTCTGGCTCCTTCAATTTTGGAGGCAAGAAACCTCCTCCCACCCCTCAGAGGAACTCCAGCATCAAGGACAACGCCTCAGCCTCCTATGAGGAATCCAGGAGGAACTTACTCAGCAAGTTTGCTCCGCAGGGCAACACCTCTCCTTCCTCACCATGTCCCACCTCCTCTTCTACTGGATCCCCCTCCAAGGACCACTCAGCTGGACCCCCTGCTCCCCCAAAACCAGGCAAGCTCAACCTGTCCAACCTGCCCCTGGCGCTCCAGGCCAAAGTGGGCCAGGCGAAGCAGTCCAGCGGCGACTTCCCTTCCCCACCACCTGATTGCGCCTACTTCCCTCCTCCTCCCCCGGCCTCGGAGCTCTTCCCCCCTCCTCCTCCTCCTCCTGGCAGTGATGGCCATAGTGGCGGACCTCCGAGGGTGGCCGTGGTCAACCCCCAGCCCCAAGCTCCGCCTCCTCCTCCACCGGTCTCCCTCGTCAGCAACTCAACATGGGGAAAGAGCTCACTGAAAAAGACCCCTCCACCCACACTGGCGCGACGTAGTAACACCACCCCGGAGCCCCCTCCACTCTCGCCGCCTCCACCCACCTCCCCGAAGGGCAGCTCGGGCCAGCCCAATTTCCTGGAGGACCTCAACCGGACACTGAAGCGAAAGTCGGTGGGTCGCCAGGGTTCTCTCAACTCTGCCGGCCTCTCTGGGAAGCTGGACCCCGCGGGGACCATGGACGACATGGCGCTGCCTCCGCCGCCCCCCGAGCTGCTCGGGGACCAAGGAAAGCAAAGCAACGGAGGAAACGGTGGCTACATGTCCGGAAACATCTCAGGCTATGCAACACTACGACGAGGACCCCCACCTGCACCACCCAAACGGGGGGACACCACCAAACTTACTTGAGAGTGTCGAACTTGGAGATCAGGACGCGACGAAGATGGATGAAAAAAGACAATGAAAGAATATATGGACGTGAACTGGGAGCGAGTTCCTGGACTCCTTCTGTCCTCTTCACAACGATAAATAGATGACTGTGTATATACGAAAACCCAAACCAGACCGCGGTCAATTAGTGTTTGCTAATTATTGCATTTTTTTTTTTTTTTTGAACACGCTTGGCATTCTGGGTCAGTGGGGTTTACAATAGTGGGACAATTAAGACCGGAGCAGGTAAGTTTGAGGTCGTAGAAAAGAACATTTCTGCGATTCTCTAAACTCTCTGGAACATATTGTATCGCCCGGTATGGTAAACCCCACCCATCCTGGTGCACCAAGCAGATTCAAATAAACACTAATAAGAATTGTGCAAATATTACTGGATCCAGGTCTGAGCCAAACCATGTATCTGCTTCTTTGCCATAAGTTTGTGCCACGTACTGGAGACAAAAAAAAAAAAACCCAACAAAACAACAACAACAACAAAAAAAAAAAACCATGGAAACAAAAACACATCAGGATCTTTCTGCTTTGATACTGCATGGACCTCATGTAACAACAAGCTGTAAAACACGAAGCTGTTCTAGCGTGTGTGCATGTGCAAGAGCGAGAGAGAGAGAGAGAGACACTGAGACTGAATATGCATACATGCATCGCGTGCATGCATGTATGTGTGACTACATGGCGACGAAGTAGTTAAGCATTAGGAAAGGCCTTTGTGGAGCGGTTTGCTTTTATATGAAATTATTTAATGATTGATAAATGGAAGGATTTTTTTTACAAGTCTGTCTTTTAAATAGCTGGTCAACTAAAAGTCTAGAGAGGATCAAAACAGTAGGGCACAATGGAATGTATATGGAAGGCGTATTTAAGACACAATGAATCACACACACATGAAGGTAATGATTCAATAGTACAACGACTACAGCTAAAACTTTAAAAAAAAAAAAAAAAATGTGTTGTCTCAAACATTTCTAGACTGTTTCACCACTTGGCAAATGCAAATCAGAAGGAAGCCTTATTCCCAAAGTCTTGCACAGAGGTCAAAGCGGAGAGGAGATTTCTTCCAAAAGGCTCAGCAGAGTCTGGACTGTGCAACTGGAGAAAAACTATGCTTTTTTTTTTTTTTAATTTAATGCAAACTTATAATGGACTTGTGTAAACGGAGAGGGAGGCCTGTGGTGGTGTATCTTCGTGGACTGTGTGAGTTCCCTGTGCGTTGGCTTGATTTTTTTTTATTTTATTTAGATTTTTTGGACCTTTTTATCCTTCAGTTTGTATCTGTACAGTTGCAGCTGCTAACCCCCATTACCATTGGTTCCCCCCGCCGCCGCCGCCTTCTTAAATCACACGGTGTCACGATCCGGGAAGTAGTAAGAAGTACGGATTGGATTTCGGCCCGGTGAAGTGTGCTCATCCCGTTGAATAAGACACATTCGTCTGGTTAATGTACAGCGCATTAAATCATGTAGTCAATAACAGAAATCATCTGAGTGGCATTAGACTGAATGTTGCTTTCAACTTTGTGTGTCTGTCGTATCTTGTTTCTTCATGGTGCCATTATTGCTTCAGCCCTCAGTGCACGGGGACTGAGGTTATCTCTTGGTTTTTGTATCTAGAGAGTGGATCATGAAGGGTTTTAATTCCTATAGCTGCAATGCCTTCATTTTTAGGGTGCTAGCGCTTCAAGGAGCTCAAATCTCAACATGTTCCTCGTGTGCCGGGATGATCATATCATGAATATTTCACACCGTTTTAAACTGGTTTTCAATTGGCTTTAGTGTGGGAAACGCTTGCTGTGGAGAAGCTCAGAGGAGTGATTATATCCATGGTGGATTCCTCCAGCCACAGCCGTGTGATTGCCACATGAAGGCAGTTGTACCATTTCCTATAACTGAGTATCATCATCCGTAACAAGATTGTTTGCTACAGTACAGTATGTAAGTTATTGGTGTGCTGATGTGAACATATGGGGCCAAAAATGAAATAGAACTGAAATGAAGAAAAATGGTTACAGATGGAGTAAACGTGTCCTCTTGCATATAAACTGCAAATCACAATATAAATGTTGAAACCAGACATCAATGTGTCTCAAGAGTCGTCATTTGTTCCATTTATACTGGGAATTTACCTCAGCACCGTCATCATCACAGCTCAGGTGCAGAGGGGTTGAAATGGGAACAGTCATTGTTTGATCAGTGGATCTCACACTCCCTCTAGTGGTTTTATTCTGCTCTACACTTTATCATTTGTAGGATAGAGGAACAGCCTTTTATAATCAAATAGAAAAGGTTAAATAACGATTTATTGAAATATAAAGATAAGTTTTTCTTATATGGTTCACTGATCAGTCACTGCCCAAATACATATCAGGGGGGGAAAAAATAGGACACAAACCATAATATGCAAATATCATTTTTAATAATTCAAGTTTGTTTTCTGATTTGCACCAAAATGTTTCCAGAGCGAGCCGAGCCTTCACACCAGGAAGTTGCTGAAAGCGTCTCCCCTGGGCTTCACGTCCGCCGTCTGGGTGCTGTGGAGGGAGCGACCAGACTGGGCAGGCGGAGGCGGAGAAGGTGCGGAAGGAGCCGGGACTGTTGAAAACATACCCGTGCTCTGGTCAGTTACGTGCGCTGAACATCACACTGGTGAATGTACAGAGAGATACTGAAGGTCAGCTCCATGAATATTTGAAAACCAGTATCATAATCTTTATTTTTCAAGTCCTAGTTTAGATGTTTACACGTCAGTAACCATCACGAGTTTAAAAAATACTAGTTAATACTTACCTCTGTTTGTCAATGGGATAATGAAGTGTTGTCTCCCTCTTGAGAACATCTGTGGAATCAGGACATCCATTATATTGTTGCTCAGACTGATTGGAAATCTCAGCTTTTCTAATTTGTTTTATGAAGCTTATCAAATATGGAAAAATGTGCTTGGGGAAAATAGAAGTTTTATTCTCCACCAGTATCCCTCCCTTCCCTCCCCCTCTTAGCCCACCTCCGTCTGCGTCCTCACCTCTTCGCTGGACTCTGAGCTGGAGCTGCCGTCACGGCCGCATCTGGCCGACACCACCTGGGTCGAGGTCGCAGAAATCCTCACCCGGCTGGAGCAGGAGAGGGTGTTCTGTGCAAAGCAAATATCTCATTTAAGCGTTTTGTTGTGGCTGCTTTTAGCTTCAGACTGATCGCGTGTCACCGTCCCACGGCATCAAGGCAGAACAGACTTGATAAGCAAATTCTGTCCTTGTGCGTTCATGCCAATGCAAACAATCAGTCCGTCAACATGCGTCCTACCTAGATACCAGGCCTTCACGGTGAAAGGTTTCACATGCAACACTACATACCAGCCTTTAACTGATCATCTGTAGGTTGGTGCAGAGCATTAAAGGGCTACACACGTGTTTTTATATGTTTCAGTCCAGTGGTTTGCAGCCTTTTCTGTTAAACCCTTAAAACAAAAGGTCTAATTGCGTCTGGTTCCATGTGTCGACTGGTTGTGAGGAATTTCTATTTCTTTATTTAATTTCTAGAGGTCTGAAAAGGGAAAACGATGAAGTAATTCAGAAAAAAAAGGCAGGATCAGGATCTGGAGCCCAAGGTGGGGAACCAGTATTTTAGTCCATAAATTTCAGGGGTTATTAATGTCACTTTGGGTGAGGGCACTACTTTCTAAGCTTTTTGCTCTTCTATTGAAAATGCAACCACATGGCACCAGACTCAAATAAACAATAGTAATATTTTAATTAGGTCTTTTGACCCCAGATGACATTAAACATCTCACCACAAAGAAGCCGGGTCTGAAGGCACACGTCTGCGGGTCGCTCCCAGAGGCCTTCCCACACTCGGTCTCTTTAATGCCAAACGTCATCATCAGGTCAACGGTGTTCAGGCCCACGGGAATAACCTGTCATACATGATACATCACAAATGACACATACCTGCTGCTACCAAGTCAAACCACCATCCAGCACATCGATTACAACCTGGAAGATTTAAAGATTAAAGAATAGTGTGTGCTGACTCACCCTTGTGACGGAGCCTCGGGTCACCCTGTAAAGGTGGTTGATGGCATACACAGAGTTGACCTCAGCCAGAGCTGCTTCAAGACCTCTGGTTGCCATGGACTCCAACTCTGAGTTTTGCAGCGGGGCACCTGCAGGAACGTGGATGTGACAAACTGACTGTAGTTACTATATCTCCTTTTCAAATGATGAGCACAGAAAGCCACTCACCTGAGCATCCCAGAAGCTGCAGCAGGGCCAAGAGACAGATGTACGACTTCATCCTGACTAGCACCAAAGTATCACGACGATTCATCGACCTTCCCTCTAAATAGCTCAACGTTTGTCCTCAAACCTCCACGCACCGCCTCTCGCCCTCCATAACCCCTCCAATGTTGTCTGTTCGGCTTCCTTCACGTAATATCTCTTACTTAACCTTTGCTCAGCACTATTGATCCCAGGGCAACGAGCCAAATTAAATGACTATGATAAGCAATCGGATTCCCTTTCAGATCCTCCATTTGACAAACTCAAAACTTTTTCTTCTCAGATTCTTGGGCTCTTACAGGAACCCACCATTTTCAGTTTGGGTTTGGGACTTGATGATGATGATGTCACGTACTCCCGTGCACAGATCAGGACATCTGAATCAGAATCTGATGCAAGTCGGCGGTTTGTTTTTGTTTACTGCTCAGCACATCCGTTCAAACTTCACCCACAGTCGCGCTGACGCAGATTTCAACCCAAACCCCCCCCCACTGAATAAATAGAACAGAACCTAAAAATCTTTGACTGTTGTTTATGTAGTCTTGAACATTTAATAGTACTGAGGTTTACAGGGGCTTTAATATGTGACTTTTATTGATTGGTTCAACTCAGTTCAGTCAGCGGCTTTTTAAAGCACTATAGGCCATTAAAAAATAGTATTTAAATTAGTTTAATATGCGTACAGGGAGCACAGCTGTAAATCAATACAGAAAATGATTCACCAACAAAAAAAAAAGGACACTTCGATACGACTGAGGTCACATGGGGCCTCCATTACTGCAACCCAATTGTCAATAAAAGGCTTAAGGCTAATACCGCATATCAAATAACCATTCCGTTTCTTTTTAACAGTCTTAAATAGTTACAGAGGAGTTACTGATTATGTGGGTGGAGTAAATGATCCGTAATTTACAACTAAATTTAGACAGTTTGGTGTTGTTATGAATATATGCAGAGTCAAATTTTAATGCCTCTATTCTGTTGGTGAACCAGGGCAGCAGCAGTTGCAGCTCTCAGCATTATTTAAAAAATAAAATAAAAATACACAAGCAGAAAGTTATTGGTCAGTTTCAAACAGCACAAATATTACCGAGTGAAATCTTAATATCACCTCTAAAACAACCAGTCGTGCATGAAGCAATAAAAATGAGAGAAATGTTTTTCCACCATGAAGCTGTTATGTTCTTTGTCCCAGTTCAGCTGATCTCTTTTTTTGGGTTCTCCTTCCTTCGGACGGATCACTGACCTCTCTCTTGTCACAGCTCGTTTCAACATCAGGCCCGTTTTAATCATTTGCCAAATCAAACGGGGCAGAATACAAAACGTTCTTGGGTGTATTTTTTCATGCCTCTGAGTCAGATCGCAGTTTATTTACAAGCACAGTGATAAATTCAAACGGTTACATGAATACAGCAACCATCTACTCCCATTATGTTTATTACATTCATCATCAATATCAAAAATATTTCACATTTTGGGAATGTAGAGATTTATAGCTCTTGTAAACAATTTTTAATTCGATTATATTTTTCATAACACCATTTAATCACCATATTAAATAATATACTCTTTATAATCTCTTTAACAAAAGGAACTACTGACAAAGGAATTACTTCTGTAAAAAATACACCAAGAGCTATAACTGACATGTCACAGGATAATCAAGTATACACAAAAGAATTTCCGGGTATACCGAAGCTGGATGATTTGTACTCATCTTAAAAATAATTTTTTTTTATACATGGCCTTACATAGACTTGTTTGTGGTAACAATCTATTTTTGGGAGTTGTGAGCTTTCAGTTTTTCTGAATCTGATGCATGCTGCCTCCTTTCTGCTTTTAGGACAAACCCTGATACTCTCTGCTTTGATTGGTGAGCCAACAAACGTGTTCACAGTCTCAGCATGTGTGGGCCACTTCAAGCAGCTCTCTGTGTAAGCATATGTTTCATCTCTTCATCAATTCTGATTTTGTCAGCGGCCCTACAGTGGAAATGCAGCCCTAAATGCATCAAAGTAAACTAAACACACAAACACATAAAGATACGAGCCGTCTTCTCATCGTTCCAGAGTTCCCATCAGAGGCTCCATGGCAGCGAGGAAGCAGGCCTCAAACTCCTGATCTGAGAAGCGAGCCACCGACTGACGGGCGTTGCGTCTGAGCTGCAGCCGGCTGGCGGAGGGCAGAGCCAGGATCCTCTGTATTTCCTCTGCGTAACTGTCTTCGTCATCAGCCAGGAAGCCTGTCTGGCCCCCCTCGAAAGGAACCACGATGTCCAGCTTGGGGCCGCCGGACTTGTGAGCCAGAATGACCTTCCCTGCTGCCATACACTCCACAACACCTAGAGGGGAAATACAAGATTGAAGATGCACTTTTTTTTCCATCTAAAAATGAAATTTTACTAAGAAAGTCTAAACATAATCTCTGTTAGATAAATTACCTATTCCAAAGTGTTCGTTCCACATGGTGTGCAGTCCGATGGTGGCTTCCCCCATCTCTCTCTTCAGCTCCTCAAAGGGTACGTTCAGTTTAAACTCCACCTTGTCAGCTACACCCAGCTCCTGGCACAGCCCCCTCAACATGAGCACCCTATCCTCATCCTCCTGGTTCCTGCACCCACCAACCAGAACCAGCTTCAGCGCCTCCCCGCCGCCGGCACCCGTCCTCCTCTTGTCCAAAACCTTCTTGAAAGCTCTGATCTGCAGCCGGTGGTCCTTCTCAGGCCTGAACTGCCCAATGGAAACGATGGAGTGGCATTTCCTGTCCCCGTCGTCTTCCAGCGGGATATCCAGGAATGCACTGACGTCGCAGGGCGGGTAGACCACACTGGTGCGGTTGGGAGCGCGCCACAGTGACAGGATGTGATCGAGGGTCCAGGAGGAGTTGACCATGATGAGGTCGCTGCAGGAGCCGGCCATGCCGTAGAGCAGGGCGAACAGGCAGTAGTAGACCACCTTGAAGGCACTCAGGAACAGATTGTTGGAGATGTAGTCTGGGTTGTTGAACCTAAAACATTAACAGTTTATAACTTTACCAGTCATGTAATTCAAAGGGAGAAGGAAAGGCCTGTGCAGGAGGGGCTGCAGTTACTTCTGGTCACCAGTAGAGGACAATACAGGCCCTTTTTTTACTGGCCATTTCATTATATGCATAAAAGAAAATGCAATATAGTGTAGTATTTGGAGAAATGCTTATGATATGACTGTATGGATTAATCTGACTTTAAAAATAAAACAAAATAGCACATAACAGTATTAAAATAAGCCTGTTTGAGCAACCATTATGAGATGTCTGTTTTGGAAAGACACACACTGATTACCTGGGGTTCCTCTCTCTCACTACAGAGAGCATGTCAGTGCTGATGGTGGGATAGTGAACATAGCTCCCCACGCTACAGCCTCCAAAGTAACGGAACAAGGGCAGAGTGAAGGCGTAGCCCATGGAGTCGATATAAAGGTCTGGGACAAACTCCGTCAGTGCCTCCCATCCCAGAAAAATGGAGCCCACACTCTGTCCAAGCAGGGTGAAGTGAGGAAACAGGCCGGGCTCCACAAGCAGCCGGTGCCTCAGGAACACAAAGTGAACCGGCCGGGGGAGCACGATGTTGAAGCGACGTCGCGCTCCCTCCAGAATCTGCTGGCCTGTCACACCCAGGTCCCCTGTGTACACCACAAAGTTGATGTCTGCATACCTGTGCAGATGTGGGTTATGTTAAAGCAAGATTTCACATAAACACAAGGTATTTTAATGTCTGTACTCTCACTCTCCACTCAGTTCTGATTCTGTTTCTTTTCCAGCTAGTTCACTCTTTCCATTTAGCTGCTTATAATGGTGTCAAAACATGGTTATTACATGGACACAGATTTAACTACAAACATCGATTTACTGAATCTTCAAATGATTCAGTAAATCAATGATTAGTAAGTACACCAAACCTTTAAGCTAAAAAACAAAATCACCTGTTCTGCAGTGCCCTAATGGCACACCAGAGCACCCTCTCTCCCCCACCACCGGCATTACAGTAGGGGTGAAAGAAGGCCACCGTGGGACGGCCGTCTCTCGCCCGCCTCGCGTTCCTGTTGCTCTGCAGCCAAAAACGCACCGCCAGCACCAGCAGGACCAGGACAGTGATCAGCAGTACACACAGGAAGACCAGGGGCAGGAGCAACTTCCACAGTAACCTGAAACACAGAAATACAACACAATGAGTTCTGGGTAACAGTAAATCAGCAAACAAACTTTATTTACATTGCACTTTTGAAAACAGAGGTTAAAAGTACCTTACAGGATGAAGAAAATAAAAGATTGTAAATCAAGAGAAAGCCTAAGAAAACAAATGGATGCTTTTCAAAGATGTGGACTGATTTGGCTTCTCTGAGACTTTGCAGAAGGCTGATCCAGAGTCAGATTAAAGCTTCTATTTAGAAATACTCTTTATGGTAAATTATTACAAACATTACAGCAAATGCTTTAGTGTAACCAAGCTGTAGTGGTGTTATAAGGATACTGTAGTGACAAAGATGTGTATAACGCATGAATAGACTCAAAATAAACTGCAGTCTAGAGGAATATCACATGTGTTCCTTGGTGCTTCCTGAAGTGGGGGGGGCTGACAATGAAGCTTTAGCTAAATGTTAAGAGTTTGGTTTTCATAGTCATGTTATTATAACAAACAAGGAAACCCATTATATTTATCTAAAGACTGAAACCGAGGTAGCTAAATAACATGAAATATTGTCAATAATTTACCGGTATTGTTGCTAAGCTACCACCAGAGCAGCAGCCAACATACAGTAAAATAAAACAAGCTAACTACGCTTTCAACATTAACAATTAAGACTTTTTCCATTCGTTTAAATACTTTGTTAGTTAAAATAAATAAAATAATTACCTTGTTAATTCACACAAACAGTGGACCAGTTGATCGTGGCCCGACATCTTGACCACAGAAATCTAACAACACATCACCTTTCAACTTGTCTCTTTCCTCCTCGGTGTTTTCCTGCCGTTATTTATACTTGTCTGGCGCCACCCAGTGGCGAGGAGGTCTAACTGCAGCGCCCTCTCCAGCTTTTATTGATGAGGAGTCCAATTGAAGTTAGGCTACATTTATTCAGACATTTGTAAGTTATACAAATAGCATA